GGTGGGCAAAACAAAGACCAAAAAAAATATCCTAAAATACACAAACATATGAACCAGATAAATGAGTTCTGCTAACTAGTTTGCAGTTGAATTGTCTTTTCAGGCGGTGCTAAACAGAGCAGAGTTCAGGCTGGAGAACCCTTTTACTTGGTATTTCCTGCCACATGTAGCTGTAAAAAGGACCCCGGAAGATTCTGTTAACACTCCTGTCACCCCAGCAACCTACAAAGGAGTAGGGCAGTAGATCAATAACTGCAAACAGGGAAGGGGTCTTAATACTGGCTTCTCTGTGGCACTTGCGGCCTCCTCAAGTAGCATATACCCGTTTATTATGGTCTGTTGTAGGGGGATGAAATCCTGACCAACATTTTTTTCAATTCAACATTTTTCCTTCTATTTTAGGGACTGGAAGGGAAGGGCTCTATTAGCCAAAGACCGTGCCATGTGCTTTGATGGCTCATCACGTCATCATCCTAGGCTTTGTCTACAGGAGGTGGACTTTCACTACACCTCGTTGTTTTGGTGAAGCATCTAGGCACCAGCACCATGTGGTACCTATCCCACCTGCCGTTGGGTCAATTCCCACTCCCAGCAGCTCGATATAGGGTTTTTGAGTCTGTACATCTTTAGGGGAGTAGTCTCAATCTTGGAGCAGCTGGTGGGTTTGAAAACCATTGATCCTGCAGTTAGCAATCCAATGCTTACCCAACAGTGCCAAGAGGACTCCTTGGATCATATCATAAGAAGTCATATATATGATAGCAAATCAAAAAACATTCTTACAAAATCATACAAATCTTGCTAAACAAAAACTTCAAAATGTGAAGCTATTGTTTCCTGACATATCCTCTAAATAGGTCTATACACTTCTGAAGGTGGTGTTTCCATCTCTCAAAATATTAACTGACTTTCATCGCTTGAAATGATCAAGCTTCCTTGTTCTAGGTTGTTCTTGTTCTTCCCCCTTACAGCTATATTCTCCTGTCCTCTCTGGCTAAAGAATTCTCTTTTAGGAGGACCACTCTCTCTGGGAAGCCCACTTTGGTTCCTTATGGTCTTCTATATCCCAAATGTACCACCCCATTCCCATCCCCAATACGATATTTTCCCTTAGAAAGACAGCCTGTTTTGAATTCTTTAGATCTCTACCTGGATCTCTGGTGGATAAGTTCCACCAGAATCAAACTTTAATACAGCGCCTAGCACATAGTATGTGCTCAATTAACATTTTACATGAAATACAATGTTAATACACTTTGAGCAAAAAACAAGACAGAATTGAAAAATAAAACAACAATAAAAGACAAACCTATTACCATCAAGTCCATTCCAACTCATAGTTGCCAAGGCTGTAGTCTTTATAGGAACAAAATTATCACATTTTTCTCTTGTGGATCAATTAATTGGTGGGTTCAAATCTTTGACCATATGGATAGTAGCCAAGCACTTAATCTCTGTGCCACCAGGACTCCTTAAAACAGAATCAGCTCAACTTGATAACAGTCATAATTAGTAATTGATCAACTACAACTTTCTTAGTAAGAGTCCTTTAAAATGTCACATAAAATTAGGCTTCTCCCACCTTTTGTTGGATTCCAAGTGAAAAGAGGAAATAGGTATGGTGTGGCCCAAGAGTGGGGTGGGGGTGGGATGTGAAGGAGCATACAAGCAAGCAAGCCATCTACCATACATTGTTTAGCATATGGAAACAAATACACACAAAAATAGTTAAGGTATCCTATTGCATCACATTAATTATACATGAAGAATTTTCTGCTTCTAAAAATATGAAAGACAATGATTCATCGACCCATTATTTATCATTATTGCCCACAGATTAAAAAAAAAAGATCAATACATTATTCTTTTGCATCAAGCATCCAATTAGGGAAAAAATATACCTAGTAAATATGTAAATTGAAAAATAAGAAATACATTTACACAGCTCCACTTATAGAAACTCAAAGGTCTTGCTACACATTAACCCCCCGCATTCTTGTAATTACGGTCCTTAATTTAAACACTGGAACCAGGGCCCATGTAAATAGGAAGAGTTTAAAATAGGTTTCTGCCTTCCTGTCTGCCACTCTAACTAAGCTGTCATTTTCTTCTTAAAATAATTTCCCCTGTATTTCCACAATAAAATCTTAAGCATTTCTCCATCAAAACTTTCCACCAAACCTGTAGACAGAAGATTTGGAAAACTGTCTCAAGAAGAATGCCTTATCAAGTTAGTTCATATCAAATAGTCTTGCTCAGAAGATTCACAAAGACTGCATAGGCTGGAAGGTTACACACCCAAAAAAACAACTCACTGAGAGCCTGCTTTCAATGTACAAAGCATTAGCCTCAAATACTTAATAATTTATCCCTTTATTAATGGTGCTCCAGATAACTTAATGAGGTGCCTACTAAGAAAACATTAGGTTCAAATTCAGAGGTTCTTCTGAATATCCATTTGAAAAATTAATACAATTTAAAACCAGAGGAATTATCTTAGGGGAAAAAATTTAGAGAGAGAAAAAAAGTCAGAACAATAAAATATTTCTTAGAGAAAATTTAAGAGATGAAGTCTTGGTAAATATTTAATGTGTAGGTGAAAATGAAAACCTCTAATCACTGTAGATTACAATTACAGAAATGATAAAAAAACAACAATCAATAAAATTTACTAGTAGTTCTCAACCAATTTAATAAAGTTGTTTTAATATAAAGTAGAATTGTGGTGGAAATATCTTTGAAGAAAATAAAACTATTATACTGATAGGGCTCAAATGAGGATGGAAAATTGGAGTTATGCCTCAGGGGTTTTCTAAATTCACTCTTTTTTTCTATTCCTTTCTCTGTATAGTCACCCAGAAAATTATAAAATTATCCAAACGAAGTAATAATGAAGAAATAAGCCTAGAAGAAATAAGCCTAGAAGAAATAAGCCTTGCATTAATTTTGTGTTTAGGCTGTGTGTATACATGTGTAATGATATATGCATATGATACAAATGTATGTACATACATATTTTTCCAGATTTTAAATACCAAACTCACCACTTTTAGAAAGCATGTAGCTGACATTAGGATACAAAACAATCTAAAATGTAAATAGAGAAACAAACCAACCTTTTCAACGAGCTAAGCTAAAAACAGAAAATTTGTTCCGTTTTGAATCTTCCATAACACAGAATGGTAAACTAATCCCAATCCTTCAACATACATATATAGAAAGGAAGCCCAGAGAAGATAAATGCTTTGTCTATGTGGTCAGAAAGTGACAGATTCAAGAACAGAATCTTGTATCCATGATTACTCATAAAGTAGTCTTTCTTCAGTGCTTTAATTTCATCATGTGGATGGATGTGATTTAAAATATATACATAACCTCCAGATCTGCAGATGTAGAGCTTGCGGTTTCTAGTACTTGCATTATATCTGAAAACACACCGTTGTTAGCCTTCTCTTGCTCTTTGGTACACAAACTTCAAGGGACACAGCTTCCTTTCCAACATGTGTAAGCTATTTAGACAAGTATGTCTTTAGCTCCCAACTACCATGAAGCTACATGCTAATGGACCCAAATCCTACTCCTCTCTACTTAGGGTGAGGTATGTGAAAACACTTTTATAAGAGGGGGCGCTTAAACATTTGGGAGAAAAATAGAATTGAAAGATGAAACATTTCCATGAACTTGGGAAGCCCCTTCCTACATTCTGGGCATCATGGAACTAATCTAGTTCTTGTAAGAAATCAGTTATTTTGTTTTGTCCTTTTTTTTTTTTTTTTGCAGTCTCCTTCAGATCCAGTTTATTCTGGATTTGGCTTTAAAGAATGCTATCTTAGAGCAATACCATATTAGTTAGCAATAATAAATTGGAATTAGTAAAGAATCCCGAAAGTACCATGGACTGTCAGGAGAACAAACAAACCTGTCGTGGAAATACAGCTAGAATGCGCCTTAGAAATAAGGACGGCAAGATTTTGTGTTACATACTTGGGACATATTATCAATCGAAACCAGTCCCTGGAAAAGGAGAAGATCCGTGAAGAAAAGGAAGCACCTTAAAGAGATGGTCTGACCGAGCAGCTGCAACAATGGGCTCAAAGACAGTGACTGTGGGGAAGGCACCAGACAGGCAGTGTTCCGTTCTGTTGCTCGGAGGGACACTCTCAGTTGGAACAGACTCAACGGCACCTCACAGGCAGTGTTGGCACAATTCAGACAGCTGCTCAATAAAGGTTTCAGACTCTGCTCCTTCTGACTTCAAAGCTCTTAAACATGTAATAGCAGTAGAATTCACACAAGATTTCTTTTATTTGGTTGAACAGTTTCACTTTGCTCTTACAAAGTTTTGAAGTCAAATAATCAAAAATTGACGTTTTAAGTATAGCACAAAACAAAAACACTTAGGAAGGATCTTGGAGACAATCTAATAAAACTGGCCAGATAGTTGTTGCTGGGCCTCAATGCGTTAACCTATATCAACTACTTTGCAGACACCAGGCAACTCAAACTCTTCTTGGCTTTCCTGTTATTTCCTAGGGATATTCTGCATTCAATTTCTGTAGAAAACTCTAATGTATTACAGAAACAGAAGAAATGCTTTCCTCCATTTCACTTATTCAACTCCCATTTTATTCAAGAGAATTAACCTAAAGACAAGAAAATAAAACTTCATGTAGTTCACTCTTATTTAACATACACATTAGCAATTATTAATGTTAGTGTGTGAGGACAAGTAAAATATTTAGTGTCTTTTCATGCTATATTTTTGTTAACCTCAACTGGAAGAGGTTCACTGTTCCATGAAGCTATTTATGACTGAAAACCAAATAAAGCCTGGCTCTGACAGGGAATGCCGTGAGTTCAGAAGCACCTCCTTAAGACGGAACTCTGCACCACAGCAGTCGACTCTTGAATACAGCAGCCCACATGCCTTACTTAGGGATCTGGAGTCTCCTAAACCAAATATTCAACAGCATGTCCACTGGTTTTAATTACATACTTACTCGGTTTCCTGGGTCATGATTTCTCATCTGAAAAAAAAAAATGTAAATATAGAAAAAGAATACATCTGAGAATCCCAATGTTTTGAATCCTCAAGTAATAAAAGAACAAGGCCCCCAATCTATGTTTATCAATATCTTGAAGGACGGGGTGGGAGAGAACATCATATTTAAAATTACCTTTATGGGCCTTGGTATTGTGCTAAGTGCTTTATTCATATTATTTCATGATACTATTACAATAACTTTAACAAATAGATTTAATTCCATTTTATAGACAAAACCCCAAACATATCCACTACTAACCTGGATGAGAACTCTCCAAGTTTCTTTAGTTCTAAAGTCTGTCCTAAAGCTCAGGAATCATTTGCTTTTCAATGGGATGGCAAACCATTCTCATGCATTTTAATAGATTCATGAAAAAATTTCCATAAAAATTCTAAAAACTAATTATGAAAGTTAATCCCACACCCCCCAAAAGGGCAGGAAGATGTTTCACACCCCATGCTGCTGTATTTCTTGCAATTGAATCCAAGCGAAAGAGCCAAGAGTCAAAACACATTTAAAAAGTGAAGGGCTCTATTCTTCTGGATAAGATGTATTTTTTCTCTAATCTGCCAATTTTTTCTTTGAGTTACACAACATGAGCGATTTTTCCACAAGAAATATCTTGTATTTATAGCAAGCTAATTGCTTTTCAGAGGTGACTGTCATATGTATGTGGATGGTTTTAGGATTCAATTTTGTCAAAAGCTGGAAAAGGAATCCATGCCTCATCACATGCAAGCCCATGTTTAACGAGATTAAAAACCACGGCAAAGACCAATAACCATGAAATTTCTCAAGTCGTTCCTATTAGTCTACTCTTTACTAAGAGATCCACTACTAATCTAATTTGTAAATGATATCATCTACAATACAAAGGGTTTATTTGTGGTAATAAATTGGATGTTCCACCTAACGGTGACAGAAATATTTGCTTTTTAGAAATAGCCTTATATCATAAAATTTCCCTCCACACCAAATGCCTGCATTTTAGTGATTATGTATTATGACATAAAAACAAAGGATTCTAGCAAATATAATACTAATTTTTATTTTAGTAAATCAAATACATAAATATTGGTTACAAAGGGTTAGATGTCCACAGTGGGTTTCTTACCAGTTAAACAGAAGCATTTTCACATCTTTATAGGTATTTCTGAAAAACACTTTCCTCAAAACCTACAATATGATATCTGCTATGTAATAACTGTTTTCTCTTTGAAAGTGTCAATGTCTTCTGAAACCTTAGATCAGCAAAAGTGGATTGTGCCATGTTTTCTACTGCCAAAGATCACTTAAAGTGATTTCACACTAATTTTTTCAGTTGAATATGGAAATAAACTTCCAAAATAATATCAAAGATGATGCTTTACCCGAGCAAAATACTGAAAGAGATGTTTCATGGGATCAGAATACGGTGCATCCATGAGGAACATGAGGAACTTCTGACCTATTTCTTAGTCTCTTGTCTCTGTAAGCATACAGGGACTACAAAAATACAGATTTGGAGGGTACTGACCACAATAGTGGGACAGGAGGAAAGTCAAGGGAAATAGAGGGAAAAGCTTGGAGGCAAAGAGCATTTATAAAGGTCTACATAAAAACATGTATATATGCAAATATATTTATATATGAGGATGGGGAAATAGATCTATGT